GACTTACAATTGCTTGTAGAGACAAAAAACTTTTGACTCGAAGTCATCAGCATGTAAGGTGACAACTGTTTTTAAAGATGTGCATCCACTGGGTAATGACGTCATAATTAGAGGTGGTTACTGATTTTCTAACTGAGCTTAATTAAGTGTTAGCTCTAAACTTTTTTGAAAAACAGTCTTAGGTTTTGTTCCATATAATAAAGCCAGACAAATTAGGAATGCATTGAATAAATAAGACCTCAAAGTTATTTCCAGTTTGTTGGTATGAATGATTATAAAATAGCATCTAGTTTTAAGTATAAATAACATTTTGAAATAGAAGTATTTGAAAAATGCATTGGGAAACATCACTTCAACAATTGCAAAATTATCAGTACTTTGGTTTCCCTGGAAATGAAAAAGAGGTTATGTCGTGTTCTTATATAATCTAACTATAATTTGCTTTTATGAAACCGGAGCTGAGGCAACAAAACTCCATACCTCTTCGTGCGACAAAGACAGTGATAAGCTGTGATAGGGAAGAGTAATTAGCGTTGTAAGATTAACCCTCACAAATTTGAACATGGTTTTCTGTACTATTTAAAAGTTTCCATACCCATAATCGGCTAAACTACATCAATTTCATGCCCACATAAACTTGCTTAAAGAGTTCTCAGTACGTTCCTGATTGCTCAGCGAACTTGACACTCATCCCGTGGAAGAAGCATGTGCTTCAACAATTACAGCTCTTACACGCATTGCAGACCTAAGGTACTTTTTTTAATCCTGCTGAAATGGTTTGATGGATCACTCTTTGCCGGAATCACATGACCGGAAAGGTTCGCATTTTTGTTCTTTCGAGCACTACTTTCGTGGTAGGATGTAATTTTTGGAAAAAAGAAAAAAAAGAAAAGTTTGACGAGCAAATGTAGCGGTTTTTTTCATCTCTTGTTTATGTTTACCCTTCCTAATGAGGAAAAAGGAATAAAAATAAAGTAATAGAAAATAAACAAATAAATTTTTCAACAAATTTTAAAAAAATCGTTGAATAAACAAATTAATAAAACGTGATTGGAATTAATTGTCGTCCCGTTTCTGCCACTAAACCATCAAAAACGTAGGCGCTTTGTTAAGTAATTGAATCTTTTGTACAAAACTAAATGGAACAAACTAAATTAAGTGCTTATTGAACGGTTAACATGATGGTAAATCAGAACTAACCTCAAATATTTCACTTATTGCCTGCTTCATTAGGTGATCGCATAATTTGTCTCCGTTTACAAGTATACATGATGAATTACTATTGCGGACCTATTTCTGCTGGAAACCTTTGGGTCAGTTTAGACAAATGGGAAGTAGCCGTAGTTAAGACAAGAGAGTATGATACTCTTTTGGTTAAGAGGAATATGTCCCCGACAATTTTTTTTTGTAGAGATCAACGTCCAATGCATGTAACTGTAATGACTTCGTTATATAACCCCACCCACCCCGCTCCCCCCTCCTCCTTACCCACGCTTCCCGCCTTTATTTCACAGTTAAAACAGGAGCGAAATAAACAAGCAGCATGTGGCTAACTTGCATAAATCAGCTTCGTTTTTCAATCGGGACATTTTCTCACTTTGACACTCAACGTTGTAACAAACTTCCTCCACAGAGAATGAGAGGTCCCAGTTCCGTTGCTAGCAACACAACTGACCACAATGATTGACGTCCTTGACTCGACCCAGTTTCCAAAACACTCCCGAGGCGCTACTAGCGCGTAATGTTGCATTCAACTTTGGGGGTTCGGCTGGTAGGTGTTCACCTGCGTTGCAGGAAGGGCACTTCCTGTAAAGCAAAATGTAAAAAAGGACCTGTTAAATCAGTGAAGGCCTGCGTTGTTTTGATTCACTGAGTGATTCACACGCGCGAGTGACACATCTTTCTTGATAAGCGCTTCTCTGGAGTGTCGGTTATCTCGCTCGTCGAAAGCAGAGCATGTAGCAGATAATTTCGGGAGACAGCTAATATTGCAACAAATTTAGCAACGAGTCGGCTGCCTTAACTTCAACACATGAATGAATCATGACTTTATCTGGTGTCCACGGAGCGCTCAGACATGCGTGGAATCTCACAGACTAACGTGGATTTGTTTACACGAAGGTGGATTTTTTTGCAAACTCATATCTGGTAAGAACTTTCTGGCAGGTGAGCTGCACCGCGTACAATGACAACTAATGATTTTTTTGTTTGTTTGTTTGTTTTTTTTAATTTACAGCTTTTCTTAAGCAACCTGTGGGATTAAACGATAAAATAGTGACACACGAGTATAAGTCTATCCCTCCAAATCTCCCAATTGTTTTACATAAAGTAGGTATTTTTGTAAAATTTGCAAAAAAAGTAAAAATATTTGGATTGTTTTTTTCTTCAAAGTACTTTACAATGAACAAAGGACTTCTGTTAGCCTCGGTTCTGTCGCTAATATAATAGTGCAAGGCACTTCAAGGCACAAGCTACAAGTTCTTAAGACTGTGCTAAGTGATCCATTAAGAAAACTGCCAAACTTGACAATTACGTCATAGTAGATTTACAAACACACAAAGTCATATTCAGTCTGCCATGTAGAAGTTAAACGTCCTTTGAGAGAGTTTCGCGCAAAAAGTATGTAATCAAAGATCGAAATTTTTATCAAGGTTTTTGTTCGAGTTTATTTTCAAGTTACGATTTGCATACACCTTTTTGAATCAGTGAAACTTGCAGTAGATATGATACGAAAAGTTTAATGTAGGGGCAGTTCTTACGAGATTGAAGATAGATACGCTATTTTGCCATAAAGAAAATGTTTCGTCTTGAATATTTTTAATTTACAACCATATAGTAAGCTTTGAAACCCTTTTATCACGTGCGTTGCGTTTCCAAGTTAACTTTAGTTTTAACATCATTGTTTACTTTTTCAAGAGTCGTTGAAAGCTTTTATTCACACAGGGTCTCAATTCATGAAATCCACAAAGGGTCATGAAATGTCACCATCGCTGTCGAAGCCCCTGTCTAATTTACACCACAAATTCGTATTCAACGGGTTTAATTTGTTTATGCTTCATTTATACGTACGTGGTACTAGTTCTAAGATGTCAGAAAACACAGAAACGCCTCTTCAAAGTCTAGTCGTATATGAGCTGAATCAAAAAGTTATAGGTCATCGGAGTTAAGCAACTTGAGCAAACTTTCTTCTCAGTAAAAGCAAAGGAAAGAATTTAATTTTTTTGAACCGTAACCCAGTCACCGTGTGTATCTCGGTGTGACGTTCCTCTTAAAAGACATTGTAGTTGCTTACCCCGGCTCACTCGTGTCTATTGATTCGAGATGCTACCGAAATAGATCTGGGCAAGACATATGCCATAAACCTCCTTAAAGAAAATCATCTTCTAATGATACTTTTAAGACCAAAACAGTCGAGTGGTCTTATTCTCAGAGAAAGAGAGGTATCCTGTGTAGGCGCACACCAAATGAAATGTACCCTATTTACCCCGCGTGAATTATTTGCTATTCAAAATGGCGGTGCGCGTGAGGAATTTTGCGGTATAAGTTTTCATAGGGATCGAAGCAATTTTGGAAGCTGAAGAAATAGGTTTAGACCTTGACTTGGTGTAAACTTTCTGCTGCTGGTTACAAAAGTATACGATTTTTGGAGTGATCTTGTCCTTTAAACAATTAGAACTGAATCAACAGAATGTAGTGATATTTTATCGACACCATGAACTGCCGCTAAGCAGAAGGAATCTCGAAATGAGAGCCTTCCTTTGAAGGTTAACACCAAAAAGGTAAGAGCGAGGAGAGGAAAAAAGATCCTCTTTTAGTAAGAACACAGAGAACACAGATAATTAAGAAATGTTAAGGATGGAGAATTTAAATAAGAGCAATTGTTAGTGTTAGGTTAAAAAAGGTCGACAAAATGTTTGAATTCTAGTTATGTCTGATCGTATGGTGTTCGTTATCACAAAAAAAATAATAATGATTAAAAAGCGACGCTGCAAATTATAGATCTATTGTCCCGCTCACTTCAATTTTGCCAACAAACATATCATTTCACACTTCATGTAACTGGTTATTAAAACAAAGTTTAGCAGTTATTTATTCAAACTGCGTTCTCAATAATCAATCTTCAGTCAAGCAGAAAATATCACCTAAACCTCAAGATTCTGCGAAATTGTTGAAAAGGCTCATGTTTAGCACTAAAAGAAAGAAAACCTCACAGATGATCATGAGGAACTTTCAAAATCAATTGACCATCAAAAACAGCGGTCCGCGTTTAAATATCCGGCACTATCACTTTTAAACATATGTTTAAATTTTCATAGCTTTAAATTTAACACTTGTTAACCTTGACCATTTTTGCAGACTTTCCAAAAATAAAGCTCTCAGACAACAGGTTAAGAGTCATTTCAGATAGACAATATAATGTTACAGAGGCATAACTGAGCTTAGGAACGTGATTGGCTACGGGCAACCTGCTGAAACGGACTTTGTTCTGTTTTCTAGGAATCTGAAATAAACTGATCATTCAATTTTGCACGTCGCTTACATATATCGTTTGTACTTATTGTCAATACTGATGGAGTCGCTTTTGGTAAATCTTAAGAAACAAGTTACTTGTTCCATTTGCCTCGATACCTACACCGAGCCCAAAACTATATCATGTCTTCACACGTTTTGCTGTGAATGTTTGGAGAAACATGCAAGAGTGAGCCAGAAACAGGGAAAATTCCGATGCCCGGAGTGTCAGGCAGTGATCGATTTACCAGAAGGAAATCGCTTCGACCGTTTGCCTAACAGCTTTTTCCATAAAAGTCTTTTGAGTCTTCTCGCTGTTCGACAGAGTGGTGATGCAAGTAGTATTACTTGTTATCAATGCAGTGCAACCAACCCTCAGATGTACTACTGCTTCGATTGCGGACGATTCATGTGCCCTGATTGTTTCAACGCACATGAGCTGCTCAAGAAGTCTTTTCAAGGACACAAAATTACGCCAGTTCAAGACTTCAAAACAGAAGATTACGAAGCATTGTTAAGGCGACAACCGTTTTGTTCACAAGAGTTCCACGAGAGAGAAATTACACGGTTTTTTTGCTCGCAGTGTCAAGTTTGCATTTGTCAAATTTGCATAGTCACGGATCATCAAAACCACAAAGTTGTTCTTCTCGACAAAGCAGCACACGAGGAAAAGGATAACATCATTTCGGGCGCTAAATTGATCAAGAAAATGGAAAGCGAGCTCCAGGAAGTCATTAAGCAGTTTGAAGAAACCATTTCTAAGCTGCAAAGCAATATGGAAACGGCTAAGCGAGGCGTCAAGCAAACAGCGGAACAAATGATCGCAAATATTCGAGAGCGCGAGCGAGAGGCGTTAGAATCCCTCGAGGCAACACGCGTGTCGAGACTCTATAAAATTAACTTGGCCAAACAGGAAGTGGAATCCTTAGTAAAACAAATGAACCAAGCAGCTCAGTTTGCGGAAAACCTGGTGCAGAGAACCTCAAGCTCGGATATTATGCAGAACAAGGAAACTTTAAAGACCAAATTTGAAGAGCTTCTACGAGTTGAAGTTCCAAAACATCAGCAGACGACATTCATCAAATTCACTGCGACATCTCAAAAGGACTTGAAACTGGGTTTTATTGAAGTCACCGAGGGCACCGCAAACGCAGCTAAAGCAACTTTAGAAGGACTAGATCGAACTTTCCAGGCTGGTGTAGAAGCAGAGTTTACGTTATGTCCAAAGAAATCTGGAGGAGAGATGAGTAACCAGGCTGGTCTTAGAGGTCGAGTTGAATTGCTGATTAAACCCGTCCAAGATGTTACAGACGTGATTGTTGAAGAGAAAGAAGACGGCAATGTTAGACTGAAGTTTACTCCCAAAGTACCTGGCGCCTATATCATTGAGGTGAAGATTAATGGCGATAAACTACCGACCTGTCCTATGACTGTGCAGGTAAAAGAACGTGAACTTGTTGTGGTCGGTGAGTTGAAGTTAAAGTTCTCTCCTGGAGACAAGCCTGTAAATTTTTATGGAATTGCTGTTAATACGAATGGCACGATAGTTTTGACAGATAACTGTGGCCACTGTGTTTATGTCTTTAACAAATATGGCAACTGTTTGAGAAAAAGTAGAGGCGAGGGTAGCAATACGGGACAATTTCAGTACCCTAATGGCATTTCGTTTTTAAATGACAACGAAGTCCTAATTGCAGACTTTGGGAATTGTAGAATACAACGACTTAATATTCAGACAGGAACTGTTGTGAAAAGTTTTGGAAAATTCGGTAAAGGAAAAGGAGAGCTAAGTAATCCAATAGACGTTACTGTGAATGATGAAGGGAGCATTGTTGTAACCGAGTGGGGCAATGGTAGGATACAGGTGACGTCAAAGGAAGGAGAATCTATTTTCATATTTGGAGACAAAGGCCCAGAGAAACTTTTATGGCCAACCTGCTGCATTCCTTACAAAAACATGTTTCTCGTAACTGATGCAGGCCACCACTGCATAAAAGCTTTTGATCAGTCAGGAACATTCTTATACAAGTTTGGCAAAGAAGGGAATCAAGATGGACAATTTAAATCTCCGAGTGGTTTGCTTGTAGACAGCTCCAATAATCTTCTAGTATGTGACTTTGGCAATAGCCGAGTTCAGCAGTTTTCTTTAGACGGTCGCTTCACCGGCAAAAGTATCACTCGTTTATCTATGCCTGTGGCGATAACAACAGCACCAGACGGGCGTATTCTTGTTACTAGCTTTGACGAGAAAAAAGTTCACATTTTGAAATAGACTTTTTCAAAAGTGAACTTTACTTCTTGAGCCGCTCCTTACCTCCGTTTGGTTTTTTTTTTTTTATGCTGTTTTATCACTTGTCTAGAAGAACTCCTAGCGATAATATCAAGACTTACAAATACTCTTAGAGGCAAAAACCTTTTGACTTGAAGTAATTAACTCAGGTCTCTTAAGTTCGTCAGTTTCAAGCCGTTTTAATCTTCTCCATCCCTCGTCACTTGGCCATCCATGTTTCTTCTCGTTTTATTAATATCCTCTTTAATTGTTTTTTCTCCGATCTGAAGGCTTTGTTTTTGTTTTTTCTTTAAGTTCGAGGTATTTTTGCGCATCGTCGGTAGTGATTTGAATAATAATCTAGACCAAGAAATTTAAAGGCGAATCCTAAAAGAATTGCTAATATAGCAGAAAAACTACTTACTGCATAGAAATATTTAAGAGCTAATGTCAACATGCTTCAGAGAAACAGCGGAAAGTCCCCAAAATTCGTTTTATCTCCTAGTTTCATATTTTGTAGCCCAATATGTCCTAATAATTGTGGTGTAGTTTTTTGGTGAAAATATATTTTAGTTTTCGAGAAATGATTTTTTTCGTTCGACTGCTCAAAAATGCAAATTTTTACCGCGAATATTACCCGAGTTGTGTGACTTCTTGTAACGAATTTACTTGACCTCCGGCATTTCTGTCAACATGATCCTTTGTTTTATCATTTAAACTTAATCCCCTGTCATTACTGAGTGGAATATGTTTAAAAAATATGTTTCAAGGCGACAGATAAACAGGTATAAGTCACAAACTGAAGAGGTCAACTAATATATTGAATGTCATCACAGAAGTCCTGACAGATTTCCGTTCTGCTTTTCTCTCCGGCGGAAATCTAGATATAGTCGTAAAAAGTAGCTTGATGGTTTTTCAAAAGAAAACTATTTATTTTCAGTTTTCAATGAATGATGTCTTCAAAACCATAGGCGTTTTGATATCTGTGCGTTCAAAGATCTCTGGCAATGACTAAACCGAGGATATAGACTTCAAATAAGATAGATGAGAAATATAATCAAATGTCTCGCCAGAGGAATGCAAATCACAATGCAAATTATTATTTCGGTTTCCAGCTGACGACGTTGTTGTCAACCAAATTTCCTTTCATGCGAGAAAGGGTTGCCACTGACGACAGAATAAATAAGTCTAAGTTGTAGAATCCGATTGGCCAGAGGAAGTGAGTTGTCATGGACTTTGTGCTGTTTTCTCGGAAACTGAAATAGTATCCCCTCGTTTCAGTGTTTTGACACGGATCGTCGCTTGAATATCGAATGAGTTTAGTACAGTTTAACTGACGATCGTCATGGATCCTCTCTTTAAGAATCTCAAGAAACAAGTTACTTGCTCGATTTGTCTCGATACCTACACCGAACCCAAAACCATATCATGTCTTCACACATTTTGTTGTGAGTGTTTAGAGAGACATGCAAGAGTGAGCCAGAGACAAGGGAAATTCAGATGCCCCGAGTGCCAGGCAGAAATCGATTTACCAGAAGGAAATCGCTTCGACCGTTTGCCTAACAGCTTTTTCCACAAAAGTCTGTTAGGTGTCATTGAGGCAGAAGATCGCCAAGCCATTCCGAGGCAGCAACAGGGCACTTGCTCGCAGCATACGGAAGAAAGAGTACGTTATTACTGCTCCTCGTGTGAGGTGTATGTTTGTCCGATTTGCGTCACCGAAGACCACAGAGGCCATGCGTTTGACGTGCTTGAAAAAGCAGTGCAAGAGGGAAAGAAAAGCATAATGTCTGCTGTCGAGACCATCAAGGAAAAGGCAACTTTGTTTGGAGCAGAGCTAAGAAAATTAGAGGAAACTTCAGAGGATGTGGAAATGATTATCGCGATCGCTAAACAAGAAGTGTCGGAGGCAACTGAACACGTGATCACAAAGACGCGACAACAAGAAAAACAGCTTTTAGAGTCCTTAGAAATGACGCGTAGGAAGAGAATAGAGCGAATCAACTCGGCTAAACAAGAACTGGAATCTCTAATAAAAATAATAAACCGAGCAGCTGAATTTGCGGAGAATCTGGTGCAGAGAAGATCAAATCGGGATATCATACAGAACAAAAATAAATTAAGGCAGAAACTTGAAGAGCTTCGTGGAGTTGAAGTTCCAAAACATCGCCAGGCTACATTTGTCAAATTTATCGCCGCATCGCAACACAACTTTAAACTGGGTTCTATTCAAGTCTCCGAAAAGCCGGAAATCGCAGTGAAATCAACTCTAGAAGGAGTGGATCAAACGTTTCAGGTTGGTGCAGAAGCAAAGTTTAATGGCGATAAACAACCGACCTGTCCCTTAACTGTGCAGGTAAAAGAACGTAAACCTGTTGTGGTCAGTGAGTTGAAGTTAAGGCTCTTTCCAGGGGACACGCTTGAACGGTTAAATGGAATTGCTGTGAATACAGAAGGCCAGTTAGTTGTGACAGATAACTCAGGCCACTGCGTTTATGTTTTTGATAAAAATGGCGACTGTTTGAGAAAAACTGGAGGCAAGGGTAGCAATACAGGAGAATTTCAGTACCCTAATGGCATTTCGTTTCTAAATGACAACGAAGTCCTGATTGCGGACTCAGGCAATTACAGATTACAAAGACTTAACATTCAGACAGGAACTGTTGTGAAAAGTTACGGAAAAAAAGGCCGAAAAAAAGGAGAGTTTAGCTGGCCAGTAGACGTTACTGTGGATGATGAAGAACGCATTGTTGTAACCGAGAGGGACAATAATAGGATACAGGTGATGTCAAAGGAAGGAGAGTCTATTTTCACATTTGGAGACCAAGGCCCAGAGAAACTTTTATGGCCAACCTGCTGCATTCCTTACAAAAACATGTTTCTCGTAACTGATGCAGGCCACCACTGCATAAAAGCTTTTGATCAGTCAGGAACATTTTTATACAAGTTTGGCAAAGAAGGGTTTCAAGATGGAAAATTTCAAACGCTGTATGATTTGCTTGTAGACAGCTCCAATAATCTTTTAGTATGTGACTTTGGCAATAACCAGGTTCAGCAGTTTTCTTTAGATGGTCGCTTCACCGGCAAAAGTATCACTCATTTATCTAAGCCTGTGGCGATAACAAAAGCACCTTGAGCCTTACCTGTGTTTTGTTTTATTTTTAATGTTGTTTTATCACTGGAAGAACTGATAGCGATTATATCAAGACTCACAATTACTCTTAGAGACCAAAACCTTTAGACCCGAAGTAATTAGCCCAGGTCTTTCAAGTTCGTCAGTTTCAAGCCGTTTTAATCTTCTCCATCCCTCACCACTTAGCCATCCATATTTCTTCTCGGTTTATTAATATCCTCTTTAATTTTTTTTTCTCCGATCTAAAGTTTTTCTTTAAGTTCGAAGAATTTCTGCGCATTGTCAGTAGCAATTTGAATAATTTAGAGCAAGAACTTTAAGGGTAGTAGAAAAACTACATGCTGTATAGAAACATTTAACAAGTTTGACTTTTTTTATAGGCTGAGAATATATAGGTGGAAAACGTTAAGACCATGTGCTGCTTTTTATAACCATTGATTGTTTAGAATAGATTTATTAAGTGTTTTTCAATCTAAGAAAATACATTGTTAATTAAGCTTTAATTCAAGAACAATTTATGATTGCATAATTTCACATGCATAAGTGTTTAACAAGCACAAGAAGTAAGGTGACAACTGTTTTTAAAAATGGACATCTACTGGGTAATTACGTCATAATTAGAGGTGTTTAATGATTTTCTAACTAAACTGAAGTGTTAGCTCTAAGCTGTTTTGAAAAAAATAGTCTTAGGTTTTGTCCCACATAACGAGGCGAGACAAATTGGGAATGCATTCAATAAATAAGACTTAAAAGTTATGTACAATTTGTCGTTATGAATGATTAGTTTTGAGATAAAGTTATTTAAAAATTCAGTGGGAAACATTTTTAAAAAATTGCTAAATCATTAGTACCTTGGTTTCCCCTTGAAATTAAAAGAAAAGTTATGTCGAGTTCATTTATTTTCTAACAATAATTCGCCATCAGGACAACAGAGCTGAGGCAACAAAACTCCGTACCTCAGATGAATCCTTACAAATTTGAACATGGTTTTCTCTACTGTTTAAAAGTTTCCATACCTGTAATCGGCTAAACTGCAGCGATTTCATTTTTTTTCCCGCATAAACTTGCTTAAAGATTTCTCAGTACGTTCCTGATTTCTCAGCGAACTCGACACTCATCCCGTGGAAGAAGCGAGTTTTACAGGATTGGTTTTTAAACGTTGTGAATCGCACGTGCCACAACAATGACAGCTCTTGCACGCATTGCAAACCTAAGGAGCTTTTTTTAATCCTGCAAAAATGGTTTGATGGATCACTTTTTGCCGGAAACACATGACCGGAAAAGTTCGCATTTTTGTTCTTTCGAGCACTACTTTCGTGATAGGATATAATTTTTGGAAGAAAAAAAAAAGAAAAGTTTGACGAATAAATGTAGCGGTTTTTTTCATCTCTTGATTACATTACCCTTCCTAATGAGGAAAAAGGTATAACAATAACTTACTTACTTACTTACTTACTACCCATCACGCCTGTGTGGCACATAGGTCAGCAACGAAATCCTTCCAACCCTCTCTGTCTTTAGCCAGTTTTTCAATTGTGCTCCAGCTAAAATTGAGCCCCCTTAGTCTCTTCTCTACTGTCCTGCGCCAAGTTGTTTTCGGGCGCCCTCTGCTTCGCTTGCCTTCAGGTGCAATTCTGGCTATGTTGTTACTGGCCTTCCGCATCACATGACCGATCCACCTCCATCTTCTCCTGTTGACAAGTGTACGAATATCCTCCTGCTTGGTTTGCCTCAGTAGCTGGTCGTTTGATATTTTCTGAGGCCAGAAGATTCTCAGAATCTTCCTGAGGTTGGCTGTGTAGAAGGAGGCCAGTTTTGAGAGGTCCTGTTCTATCATTCGCCAGCATTCCGAGCCGTAAAGGAGAGTTGACAATACGCAACTTTGATAGACTCTAAGCTTCGTCTTTGTGCTGTACCTTGCTGACCTCCACACTGATCTTAAGCTCATAAAGGCATTTCTTGCTTCGTTCAATCTGCTTTGTATATCTACACTAGTACCCCCATCTTGGTAGAGCACACTTCAATAACAATAAAGCAATAGAAAATAAACGAATGAATTCATCAATAAATTTTCAAAAAATTGTTCAATAAACAAATAAATAAAACGTGATTGGAAATAATTGTCGTCCCGTTTCTGGCACTAAACCATCAAAAACGTAGGCGCATTGTTAAGTAATTGAATCTTTTGTACAACTAAATGGAACAAACTAAATGAAGTGCTTATTGAACGGTTAACATGATGGAAAATCAGAACTCACCTCAAATATATCACTTATGGCCTGCTTCATTTGGTGATCGCATAATTTGTCTCCGTTTACAAGTATACATGATGAATTACTATTGCGGACCTATTTCTGTTGGAAACCTTTGGGTCAGTTTAGACAAATGGGAAGTAGCCGTTGTTAAGACAAGAGAGTATGATACTCTTTTGGTTAAGAGGAATTTGTCCCCGACAATTTTTTTTTTGTAGAGATCAACGTCGAATGCATAAAACTGTAATGACTTTGTTATATAACCCCACCCACCTCGCTCCCCCTCCCCCCCTTCTCCTTACCCACGCTTCCCGCCTTTATTTCACAGTTAAAACAGGAGCGAAATAAACAAGCAGCATGTGGCTAACTTGCATAAATAAGTTTCGTTTTTCAATCGGGACATTTCCTCACTTTGCACTCCTCACTTTGTTTTTACTATAATCGTCATGTCATTGTGGAATTTTTGTAAAATTTGCAAAAACAGTAAAAATATTTGGATTGTTTTTTTCTTCAAAGTACTTTTACAATGAACAAAGGACTTCTGTTAGCCTCGGTTTGTTACCTCCGAAATCTGTCGCTAATATAATAGTGCAAGGCACTGCAAGGCACAAGCTACAGGTTCTTAAGACTGTGCTAATTAATCCATTAAGAAAACTGTCAAACTTGACAATTAAGTCATAGTAGATTTACAAACACACAAAGTCATATTCAGTCTACCATGAAGAAGTTAAACGTCCTTTTAGAGAGTTTCGCCCAAAAGTATGGAATCAAAGATCGAAATTTTTATCAAGGTTTTTGTTCGAGTTAATTTTCAAGTTACGATTTGCATACACCTTTTTGAAACAGTGAAACTTGCAGCAGATATGATACGAAAAGTTTAATGTAGGGGCAATTCTTACGAGATTGAAGATAGATACGCTATTTTGCCATGAAGAAAATGTTTCGTCTTGAATATTTTTAATTTACAACCATATAATAAGCTTTGAAGCCCTTTTGTCACGTGCGTTGCGTTCCCAAGTTAACTTTAGTTTTAACATCATTGTTTACTTTTCAAGAGTCGTCGAAAGCTTTTATTCACACAGGGTCTCAATTCATGAAATCCACAAAGGGTCATGAAATGTCACCATGCATCGCTGTCGAAGCCCCTGTCTAATTTACACCACAAATTCGTATTCAACGGTTTTTATGCTTCAGTTATACGTACCTGGTACTAGTTCTAAGATGTCAGAAAACACAAAAATGCCACTTCAAAGTCTAGTCGTATATGAGCTGAATCAAAAAGTTATAAGTCATATCGGAGTTAAGCAACTTCAGAAAACGTCATTCTCGGTAAAAGCAAAAGGAAAGCATTTTCATTTTCGGTCCCAAGATCAAATTTTGATCACTGATTCACCCCACGGTCACGTACAATAATAATATCACCCTGCGAATTAGTGAGTGAATACTGATGGTTGAGGACTGACAAGGCTACTTTCAAAGATGCAACTTCTATATTTTTTAGACGTTTCAAATATATGACGATTCTCGTGGATCAGGAGCCCATTGGGCTCCTGCGTGGACCTAAAGTACTTAATTCAGGTTAATTGAACGTGGTGGAAATAGAATTGTAATTTTTTTCATTTCTTGGGACGAATTTCAGCCCGATTTTGTTTTTTTAGTAAAAATCAAAGCATGAGCACATGCAATCACAGGAGGCTAGAATACTGAAACATAAAATTAAATGTTTTGCTTCTAATATTTCGTGGAAATTTCTCAAATTAAATAATATTGCTAGTAGTAATAAAGCAAATGTTCTCGAATTTAATAATCATGGAGTCAAAACACACCCATTCGGATACGGTTTTCCCTACACGGCAGATAAAACTGTTTGTATTGTCAAAATTAGAAGGTTGACTTGATCGAAATGTAACAAAGCTGGACAATTACCTGATAGAAAGCCTAGAAAACTGACGAGGAAAAACAAACGGCTTGTTCTTCTAGAGTCACTGCGAACAACAAGGGTCGAAAGTGCTCTGCTAGCCCTCCTTCCAGGCATAGAGTAGAAACAGGAGACCGAAATCACTGCGAGTCATTCGTTTGATGTCTTACCGGAGGCCATCTGCAACGGCAGCTTCTTCACAAACCGAGCCAGCCATGAGGCAAAATTATGTTAGAAGTGAACCATTTTTCACGTAATTTCATGGCGCTTCTAAGATGGAAACCACTTCAACGCGAAGGATCATTAACCGACAAGCTCCATCGCATTGTATTGAAATTTGATTGTATCCATTGAAGGAAAACGCGTGTGATGTCATTTGCTTAACATGGTCATGAGAACGCGGGAAATCAACTCCTAACAGTTTTTGCAGTGTGAAAACAAATCAAGTTCCTTCGTAAGATGTACTTCATTCACGTTTCGGCCAAGTTTGACTTGAGATAGTGAGGAACACCCGTCATTTCCACGCCAAGTTGATCAAAGTGCTTTGGTCACGTCAAGGTGGACCGTAACCTCACTGTGTCTATCTCGGCGTGACGTTTCTGTTAAAAGACATTGTAGTTGCTTACCCAGGCTCACTCGTGTCTATTGATTCGAGATGCTAACGAAATAGATCTGGGCAAGACATATGTCACAAACCTCCTTAAAGAAAATCATCTTCTAATGATACTTTTAAGGCCAAAACAGTCCAGTGTCTTATTCTCAGATAAAGAAAGGTATCCTGTGTAGGCACATACCAAATGAAATGTATTTATCCCGCGCGGATGATTAGCTATTCAAAATGGCGGTGCGTGTGAGGAATTCTGCGGTAGAAGTTTTCATAGGGATCGAAGCAATTTTGGAAGCTGAAGAAATAGGTTTAGACCTTGACTTGGTGTAAACTTTCTGCTGCTGCTTACAAAAGTATACGATTTTTGGAGTGATCTTGTCCTTTAAACAATTAGAACTGAATCAACAGAATGTAGTGAAATTTTATCGACACAATGAACTGCCGCTAAGCAGAAGGAATCTCGAAATGAGAGCGTCCCTTTAAGGTTAACACCAAAAAGGTAAGAGCGAGGAGAGGAAAAAGGATCCTCTTTTAGTAAGAACACAGAGAACACAGATAATTAAGAACTTTTAAGGATGGAGAATTTAAATAAGAGCAATTGTTAGAGTTAGGTTAAAAAAGGTCGACAAAATGTTTGAATTCTAATTATGTCTGATCGTATGGTGTTCGTTATCACAAAAAAAAAAAATAATGATTAAAAAGCGACGCTACAAATTATAGATCTATTGTGCTGCTCACTTCAATTTTGCCAACTAGCATATCATTTCACACTTCATGTAAATGGTTATTAAAACAAAGTTTAACAGTTATTCATTCAAACTGCGTTTTCAATAATCAATCTTAAGTCAAGCAGAAATATCACCTAAACCTCAAGATTCTGCGAAATTGTTGAAAAAGCTCATGTTTAGCACTAAAAGGAAGAAAAACTCACAGATGATCATG